ACAGCTAAATAGAATTTTTTTAGAATGAGATTTTTTTCAGTTTCAAAAGCAAAAGCAAATACAACTTTTTCGTTCATTGTGAGAAATATGCGAAATTGCGAAACATGCTCGCACGGAATCAATGTACAAGATTTATCGCGAGGTCGAGAATACAATTAGGGGAGATTAATAATCAAGCGTGTGACTTCAAAAGGCACGGTGTTTGAAACAGCGTTTCTACCCCTCGAGGGATATCACTCGCGTAACCGCATCGCGCCGCACGGCAGAAATGAAGTTTCTTTGTGTCTCAACCGGAGGTTTAATTAATTTCGTAATTGAAAGAAGCGCCTTCGTCTGGAGTGGACGATTAAACAGCGCGGTTTTTCTTTTTTTGTTTCGCTCGCTAAAATTCCGCCGTGCGATTCTTCTGCGTAAAGGAAAACGGTTGACCGAAATAACCGAATTACCGCACGACGGAAGACACACGACTTTCGGGGGATAAGCCGGACGGCAAAAAAGTCACAGCAGATCCCGCCGTGAAATTGATTTATGTCGGACTATTCCGATCGTCGTTTCTCCCTGCAGCCCGTTTTGATCAAGCAGCCATTTAAATTTCCCTGTGCGTTAAGCGACGCCTCATCCTCTGTTTCCGACAAACAATTGAGGAGAGGGGGTGGGGATAAATCAGTTTACTCAATCGCAGTTCGGCGGCTGGCAGTAGCTCACCGAGACTCGCTGTGGCACCGTTTAATTCACTTTGGTCCTGAACTCGAAATTGAAATTGGCCCGAATACGGGCGCACCGGTGAACCGAAAATATCTTTGTGGCGACCGTGTACTGGGAACGAAAACAATTTCGGCGCACGTTAACCGCTTTTACGGAGTAAAATCTGGTTATTTCGCTTACGGGGGAATACGTGCTGTTGACGTCGGAAGACTTTCATATTTTCTTAATAAATAAACGTCCAGCTCAGAACCCGATTTATAAAGAAACGGATCCTCTTTAAGATAGGTTACGAGTCACGACAGGAGTGTAATTGTTAGTGTCCCTGTAATCTAAATTTCTTCACGCGCTTGCCACTATCTTAAGACTATGACACACGAAAACAACACTTAAAAGCAGTAAGACGTAAGCGGTAAACAAATCAACACATTTTAGATTTTACTTTGCCTTACATTCTTTATGATGATTGTTCGATTCATTTTATTACTTACGTCTTATTGTATGTATTGCCAGCCAGGGACTTTATATTTTATCTTAAGTTTCGCATTTAACTTCTTTTAAAGCTAGCTTTTTTTAGAAGCTTTAGATTAACGATTTAATTTACAAAATCAGTTTGTATCTTACTGTCACGATTTCTTTGTCTATACATACACAAAGTGTACATAATAAAGCGTCTTTCTGTAATTGTATTATTACTAGCTTCCGTAATGCCACCGACTCTCTGCAACGCGGCTACGTTAAATATTTCAGGCACCGCGTTCTTCACAGTCTCCCTTCTGTTGCAGGTTAATCAGCCCAACTTTACCTCAAACGTGACCTGATTCCGAGCCAGCTTGCCATGGACAGAACCGACCCCGAGCTTTCGAAACGCAAACACAAATAAAAATAAATATAGTGTGGTATATTAATCTAGGATACAAACGTAACACGAAGACAAGGCATGAGACACCGGTCTATAATAAGCTATGTACTCCCGAGATGATTCTTTATCTTACCTTGTATAGATGAAAAATAAAGCGCACTGTTCAGCAGTTCATCGAGGCAGAGAGATGCTCGTGCTCCGATGCACGCGCGTCGTCTCCGCACGCAAGAAACGAGAACGACACGCGCGTGCGAACCCTTCATGCGTGCGTCGAACGTTAATAGTATATATGTATACTTAACTTGTGATTTTTGTATATAAATAAAAGCGTTTTGCCCAAGTTGGAAATATCTTATTTTAACTATAATTGCTTCCTTTGCTTGTTTTCCATCTTTGTTATCCACCGCTATCCCTTTTCCTCTGAAAAAATTAATAATATAAGAGAAAGCTAGGAAAGGAAATAATAATATAATAATTAATTTTGTTATATAAATTGAAATCAATTCACATTTCTTTAAATATTACATATTACTTTTCATATTTATTAGCAGACTGCGATAACATTTGAATTTTATATTACTCTCTGAACCTATATCTTTCTTACTATCTTGTAATAAAACTTTTCTATGGATTTATTTTCTTTCTCTTATCGTATAGTAATATCGTAAAGAAACTCCGAGAGAGGAAATGGCGCAAGCGTTCTTTGGAATAGTTCTTGAGCCACTTTCGATCGCGCAAATTGTTTTCTGGCTCTTTATTTTTTACGAGAACGTGCGTTCTCCAACGTGCGTTCTCCAATAAGAACGTTCATTCTCCAGTCTGTTATTTAGATATCGGGCTTCTAGAATTGCGTGCGCACGGATAATTTTACGAGGAGAAGAAGTTCCCGCGTTTTACAAACGATATGCTTCATATTGGCCATAAAACGACATAAGTATAAGCGAATGCTAAATAATAGCCAGAGTGCGCGCGCGCGCCATAAAAATGTTTCCTCTTCATGCCGCTCGCTCTCGCCACAGAAAGGTTAAAAACTGCAAGTACGTCTTCGCGCCGTTATTATGCAATTTTGCCTCGTGCAGATTTTCAATCTGCCCATCCTCCGGAGTAAATGTTACATCGTCGGGCACAAGTGAGCCTGGCATACCTGCCAGCGAGCCTCACTTCAACAATGAGCGTTAAATAAAAAAAAGTCAATAACTTGAATCGAGGTACTATTATATCGCAAAGAGTGTCGCGGGAAAGCTCCGGCTTCGGTTTTTAACGACCCTTCTACGAAATACATATCGCTATGATGCGTATCCTGTTACGGGTATCAGGTACATTTATGGCAACTGACAAGGTAATTCAATAGTGAGTAATGAAACTGCGTTACGCAAGCGATCGAAGAAAACCACTAAAATGAAATGTCCAGTAAACGTGACATAATTCTTTCTGTGTAATAACACATTGCATTTACCTATACCATTTCGATAATAAATAGCTTTCGATTATCTCGCTTTCGTCAAGCTTGTGTGTTTTTCATCGTAATTCAAATGTGTGCGACGTACATTTACATAATTAAAACATTTATACAAAAATCATATAGACTTCAAATATTACAATTACGTTTAAATGCTTAACGTTGCAAATCGTTTTTATTGTTGCGGAGAATAATCTTTTTATAGGATAAATTTATTTCAAAGAATGTGTGTGTGTGAACGATTAATGATATTTTCGATATCTTTCATTAGAACTAGAATCGATTAGCGATTAAAATTGAGAATTAATGAGTAACTTTAAAGTAATTTTCTAAATATTTTGCTATTTCAATAACTATTTAATATTAACATCTTTTTCGAAAAAATTGCTATTCCATATGAACATTAACTTTAAAATTAATTAAGCTTTAATATATCTGCATCTTTTTTTGATTATATGTGCACTTTTAGAAAGGGGAAACGGAAAATCAAAAGGAAAATACAAGCTGATTTTAAAGTCAATGCTGTAATATTTTCAAAAAACAATGGTTAAATATGTATTAGACCTACAAAATTAGTCCCTGCAAAGAAAATTAAATTTGGAAGTATGTTTAATATTTATACTTCAAATAAACTATATAGATATGAAAGTTGTGTGAATAAGATTATATTTTTGTTTAATAATACATTTTTGTAGTTTATTTATTTTATTTGTTATTATTCTTATTATTGTTAAAAATTAAAATTTAAAAAAACTATAAAAAATTTACATTTTTCTTTTATAAGTACTTTAAATATTCACAATAATTTATGCAAAGTTTGATTTCGATTCACTGATTAGTTACAAAGATATAAAAAACAAATAAATATTTTGTTTATTTATTGGACAACTAATTCATGCATCGCAATGTAACTCTACGTAAGTAATCTTAAATACATAATATACTTACATTAAAAAATTAAGATTTTTATTATTTACTTTATAATACATTTCCATATATTTTTATTAGGGCACAGATTTAAAAAATACTACTATTTATTAAAATAACTTATGATTCAGATAGCAAACCGTCACCAAATTTGTCATATTATTCTTAAACGTGATTTAGAATATTCTGTAATTTTTACGTAATTTTGTTATCATTTTGAAAATATGTATAAAACATTCTTAATAATTTTGTATAATAAAATAAATATGTGAAAAACATATCTCAATGAATGCAAATCAATTTTTAAGAGGCATATATCACTTAACGCTTAATAAAAGACGCGGTTATCAAAAGGATATAAATGACCGCAAGAAAGCTAGATGTGCACGAAAATTGCAACAAAAGAACTATAGGGATAAACGAGCTAACGACCCATCGTACGTCGCAGCTGTCGGGCGTTAACGATAAAAAATCATCCGAGTGCAATGCACATCGATCGCGAAAGGAATCCCGAGGAAAAACGAGTGGGTATACAACGTACGTTTCAAAGGTTAAAACACTACGTGCATTTGCAACGTACTTGAACTCTGTATCTATTTATGTATCTTTGTATTTTTCTCAAACAACTGCGGTATGTTTAACTTTTTTTAACTTATTCAAAAATTATAAAATTTAATGAGAAATTTTGAAAAATTTACACTACAATATTACACGTAATATTCCGTTCACGTGGCATTTTGCAATGTCTTTTTTGCTGATCCCAAAAAATAATCGTTACATTTAAAACGTAGTTAGTGATAAATTAATGATAACGAGATAAATTAAAAGTGAAATGAAAACGTAGCGACAGAAGCGCAGAACTTCTAATTTCGACTATCGCGACATAAATGAAAGCTTACGGGTATAAAAGAGTTTCTTTTGCGGTATGCATCGGTCTATAATAAAGGTTCGAACCGGTATCATCGTGGCATTTGAAATAATACGCCGATAGCACAGGGCATTGCTATCTATAAAAGGAGGACGCGGCGGATAAACGCTCGTCAGTAGTACCGTGCACGCAATATCTGGAAAACGAAGCAGTTGAGGTAAGAGTCTCGCAGAATCGCTTGTCAGTCAAATCTCAAACGGCGCTATATTAACCGTCGTTCTTTTATATAATCCAATAAGCTTCAGCAAAAATTCAAAATTATTTGATACGGACTTCTCATTTACCATTTCGAATTACACTTGCCAACAGCTTTTACACGAAAATTCGATATACTAGATAAATACTGGATAAATGAAACTCGTAAATTCCGGTAGGTCACAAAGGGAAAATTTATAATTCTCGTGCTTCATTTCTAGTATTTCATTTAAATAAATTCTTTTTATTACTTTATAAATTTTGTTGTTTGAAAAGCAATTGTAGATCAAACTTTGTAGTAGGAATTTTAATACAAATTTATAAATCGCAAACAAAAGCAGATGCACGGTTAGTTATCAGGCGTTAGATGAATTTCTAACCAATTTTCGATCCTATCCAGGATGAATCCGCATTTAATTATCTTGCTGAGCCTGGCGGCGGTAATATCGGCAGCAAATGAGCCGATAGCCATAGTCAAGCAGGAACAGGACATCAGCCCGGACGGTAGTTACTTTCTGAAATGGGAGAGCGCCAACGGGATTACCTTCGAGGAGCAGGGCGTCCAGAAGAATTCTGGCCAGAAAGACAAGGAGGCTGAGGAGGTACACGGCAAAGCGTCATGGACCGCGCCCGACGGGCAGAAAATTAATCTCGGCTGGCAGGCAGACGAGAATGGCGCCGTTTTCCAAGGGGCGCATCTACCGACCCCGCCACCACCGCCGGCAATTCCGCCTGCCATCCAGCGAGCCCTTGACTGGATAGCCGCTCACCCCTACCAGGGAGAGAAAAACAAAGTGTAATTGATGCAGTTCTTGCTACAGACATGTTGAAGATTCGTACTTCACTAGCATATGTTTAGCTTGACATTGAATGTAAAAAGGCAAGTTTGTATAAAAATGTCATATGCTGAAGGAAAATGTGATTTAATTCCCGATTTCTCATCAACCACTCTTGTCGTAATAAAATTACATTGTTTTAAATGTATTGTTTAAGTGTACTCCCCGTAACGTGCGATCAATTGTGCTGTAATTGTGATATCGCATTGTATTTGGACAAATGCGATATTGACAGATTGTTTAGGAAGATAGATTTAGTTATAAAATCATTAAAATTGATAATAGCTCTAATATATATTACGAGATTATTAAGACATAAACGCTATCAATCATATTGGAATATATCATGGTGTCATGTTTACTTCAGTATCACAATTATCCCGAATAGATATAATTTAAACGATTCCATCAATCTGATTAACCACAGACAGATATGCAGAGAGAGTTATTTGTTTAAGAGTAGAAAATTGTAATAGGTTAATAAAACCCTCAATATATTTACTTATATCTAGCAATATATAAATATACAAGTTCACGAATGCAAATTTATTCAATGACTTCAAAAATAACTATTACAATTCATGAAGAAATTCTAATTCTATAATCGGGTATTTATTTTTAACTCATTGTCAGTGAAAAGATCTTTCAAATTAAAAATAAATTACTGCCTCTCAACAACGGCGACACTTTTTTAAACATTGGAGGAAGAGGAAAGCAAATATTTGTTCTTTCGGGATATACGGCCGCTTTCTTCGCCTACTTTGTTAAGGAATTGGCAAAAATATTTCGAGAGTGGCTACTTGACGTAAGACTAGCAAATTCACTTAAATTAAATGTGGACAGACGGCTAAGCGGTAATAGAAAAATCGAGGTCAAAAATGGTCATTGCGGCGAAGGAGGAAGATAAATTGTTACATAAGCGAATGATAGCGAGAGTTCTTGCTGCCGACTACACCGTTTTCTTGAAATCTGAGATAATCCGGCGAGACAGTTCGAGCAACAGGGCAATTACGTTAATGGTAAAATGCGAATTGTGAATCGGTTTTCTTATTTGTTTTCACTTTCGTTAAGTTCTTATACGTTCTTAATAATCTAATTAGTTTTTATATACATTTGCAATAATTTGATATTGTTATATAAAAGCGAATTAAATTAATAATTAATTTAAGAAGAAATTCGGAAAATGCTAAGAGAAATATCTCTAGTTTAATAGAAAATTATTTAATAAATACAAATAAACACGCATACAATATAAACAGTTTGTACTGTATTATGCATATATGTTATCACACAACATTTATGCATTAATTGGCGTTCCGCACTGTTACTCGCCCAAATTAAATATGCAAATATTAGTAGATCAATTACTCTCCTTTTCCAACCTTTCTCTTTTTCTGTTCTCTTTTCTCTCTATTTTGTCCTCTGCTTTTTTTTTTTTGCAGTTAAAATGATTATAGTTGTCAAAGTGAACACACGCGTAAACAAACACGGATTGCTCATTCTGCGGAAATATTCACGTACACCAATTATAATGTTAAATTGTTTACAGAGGCGCGCGTATATATGTATATATATGTTCCGCCCGTGCGCCACCACGTTTAATTTGATAATTAATACCAAGCGGTCGCTTCATAATTCAGTTATAAATTCCGCGAATCATGTTTCTTGATTGCGGCAGCAATTTCGATTCGACGGCACGATCATAATCGGTATTTGTTGAATCGTGAGTGCAAATAAGACTGCGATAGATGGAATTAATCGAGGCCGGATAATCGAATTTATGGTACCATTAATAAACATTATGAGTCGCCGGCGATATCACGCCGATGTATCGCCGATATATGCATCCTAATGCGAATTCAAATTAATATTTTGACAAATGCGAAATTGTTATAATATTTATGAATTATAAAGGTAGCTACTGGTAGCGCGCCAGCAGTTACGTTTCATGCTATATAAGTATACTACGTGACATATATACCGGAAGAGACACGTTTTGGCACACTTTCTCTAACCGCGGATAATAAAGCTTCGTGCTGTAAGAAGGATGCTGTTGTGCTGACAGAATAGTAAGTCAACAATTAAATAATTTTCTTCAAGCAATTTAAACGTAAAACAATTTTAACTTAAGAACATTTGTGTAAGATCCATCTCTTTGCGAGATCTTTTTGATTATACGATATATTGTTCTTTTACTTCAAAAGTGACACAAAAAATTTGATTTTCGTAATATTTATTATCATAAATAAAATAAATAAAAAGTACTTTATGAATCATTAAAAGTAAACTAATTTAATTTCACAACCAATCTAAATTATAATAACTTGTGCCGTTCTTAAGGCTTTCATAAAGAGATCATAAAATACGTATCTTCTATAAGAATGATATATTTTGAGTTGTGCCGTTTAGAAAAAAAACAGTTTTCTATAAAGAACATTTAGAGTTGAGATAGTTTTAGTAATCAAAATTTGAAGAAGAAATTATTTGATTTTAAATTTAGTCATTTTAACTGATCAAGATAAATACAAATTATTAGTGATATTTCGAGTTATGTCATTCCACATTTTTTAATAATTTTGTAGGATAATCAAAATAATCACAACTTAAAAAGATTGGAAACAGTTTTCTCTTTTCCTGAAAAATTCAATTTTTTAAGTTATTTTTTGAAGTAAAAGGGCGATATTGTTACCTGAGCTCGAAGATTTGCGAATAAGAATTATGGCTTTTTATCAAATATCGAGTGATATAAAACTTTTAGCAACTAATTCTTAGTCAAAAGGAACTACACTTTTGGGAAAAATAATTTGAAGCTTGTATACAATTTGTTTTCTTCTTCCCTCTCTCTACGGGAATAAACTTTGAAAGATTTAACCTCGCGCGAGCTTGCGCCGGGAAGATTTATATAAGTTGCTGTTACGTGATGCTATAACAAATTTAGAACACGACTCACGTCCTGCTAAACGGCAATATATGACGAATATCGCGGTGCCTGCGGTGAAAGTTCAACGAGAACGCCGCGAGGTATAATTAGTTCCGGTTTCTCCACCCTCGCGAAGCTGTCGGATGTCAACGTCAATTTGTCGAATCGGACCTCTAGGTCGACCTATTCGAAAGTCCCCGGATAGATGACTAGCTCGCGAAAACGACATCGCACGAAGATTATCCACGATATCAGCATGACGTATTAATTCTCAATATCAGGGAAGCACGACGTATATCGCTGTTTGATCATTAGGAGAGATGAAAGTGATCGAGAAAAGAAACGCGTTAGCACTGATTCGTATCTCCCATGTCTTGGACGCGACATGAAGTGACAGCCTTTGGAGATTCGATTGCTCTGTACATTGTTCCTTTTTAAATAACAGATCTCTTTGTGTGCCTGAAGGTTTGAGTGTCAGTAATAGCGTAAATCGTACAAGATGAAAAGAGTCAAGAGGAGAATGTGTCAGAGCTAATTTATGTTTGTCATGTCATCGGCGTGAAATGACGGCCCGTCCAGATCATCGGGAAAGGGACATTTTTATTAACCCCCCGATTACCACAGAGAGATCGCAAGATTTATCCGAGCGCGTATCATTATAAAGAGGTATTGAAAAATACAGTATAGATTGCTGTCACGAAATCGTCAAGATAAATTATAACGCTGTATGCATTTATAAATTGAGATTTATCTGACCCTGTTGCAACAGTTATTTTATCCGAGCTTGATCGTCGCAGGTTTATATAAGGATTAAATTTAATTAGATTGTTACCCGGTGCCATGAATACGCGGATCTTTATAACGCGCGAGTGGTTAAGTAAACAAGGCTCATCGAGACGTCTAGACTCTCGTTGCACCAAACGTAATCAAAGTTACCGACGGTTCCCATATGACGCGCGTTACATAAGGTACATGTCTTTGTCCACTCTACGTGATTGATTAATGATGGCGAGCAAGGTCTGCTGTAATAAAGACGCGCGCGGCAGCTGTGTTTACAGCGATGTAATATCTTACAGTAATAGTCGCGCGACTTTCTATCGTAAATCAGTCCGACGTAATTGCGACGGCTGGCGTCTGTTATATCCATGATGCTCGAATACAGGATTTACTTTAAGTTCATCTTTAATCGCGCGATGGATCGTACATTCCGGAAACAACCGATTCGATGGCAGATGCGAGCACTTTGAAGGGCATCTTCGATCAAGGATTAATCCAATCAAGGATTAATCCAATCAAGGATTAATTTTGTTACGCGTATGTTAGGGAAATGAATTAATTCTTGATTCGCAAAACGGAGATGGAGAGAGAGAGAGAGAGAGAGAGAGAGAGAGAGAGAGAGAAAGATGAATAAATACGCTCCACCACCAACCGCAAATTTGTCCCGCATCCTTCCTGTAATGCTCACGAATCTGGAGCAGAATTTCGCGTACATTTTCGTGTGTTTCGCCGTGGGTATCAGGCTTATTAATAGCAACGTTTCTCCTAAGATGCAACGTTTATTCTTAATGCACCATGACATAACTACATGTCAGTTACAAAATCGTGGTACATATGTCTCTTTGAATATATATTAATACAATATATAATATAATATATTTAAAATACGCATGTGTATATAATATCGTGTACAATAAATATTTACAACAATTTGAACCAGAGTAGTCCGTGTTCATTTCGAGGGCGAGGACGACAATGTGGGGCGGCGGCAACACTCGTCGTCCGGCGTCACCGTAGGTTCATGTATCGTGGATCGTCTTCCATTCTCGTGGCGGAATAATTACTTATGGAGGTCGTGAGATCACATGCTGGACGGCGGCGCCGGTTGCTGATTTACACCTGGTTCTCATCTTCCTTGGACGGATGAGCCGCGTTCCACTCGAGAGCCTTCAGTATTAGCGGCGGGATTTCCGGCGTGGTGGGTAGATGAGCACCCACCGGTTGGAAACCGTTCTTGTCAGCCACGTACGTCAAAGAGATCGCCTGGCCGTCGTCGCTGGAGTAGCTAAAGCCGCCCTCTGCCTTCATCGCCTCGTTATCGGTGCCGACTTCTTCCAGGTGACCTTCCTCATTGGCTTTGATACCGTTACCGGATTCGTAACTCCACTTGTACGATCCATCCGGGTTAGGGCCTTCCTGATTTTGGCTGACGATCGGTATCGGTTCGCCGGGAGGCGCTGCCGCGATGCAGGCTGCCAATGCGATCAAGATTACCTGATAAAATGGAAAAGTATTAATAAATAATCAATAATATAGAAATAAAACTATGAAAGTCAGTTATTGATACGAACATTTTTACAATATAATTTTATTTTGCAATTAGGTTACGTTTGGGAAGAGCGCTATTTGTGTCAATCTATCTTCATCGTTCATTAGACGTAAAACAAGAATAGAATATAGCTATAATAGGACACAAATAGCTATAATAGCGGTTCCTCGAACACACCCTAAGCGCCACGATACAGAAAAACTTACGCAGTGAGGAAATCAACATGGATTTGCTTACATTATTACCTTATGGTGATTGATCT